AATATCCAAAAGTACATAAATTGTTTGGCCAATATTACTGTTTCTTTCTATTTGAATAACTCAACAAAGCTGGTATAAATTAAATATAATGAAAGAACTTCTTTATATGTAATGGTACAGCTACTTCAAAAAACAGTTTGGTAGTTCCTCAAAATATTACATGAGTTACCCTAAGATCCAGAAATTCTAGTACGAGGTTTACACCCATGAGAAAAGAAAACATGTATCCACACAAACACTTGAACAAAAACATTCTCAGAAGCATTATTCACAACAGTCCAAAGTGAACAGCACCCAAATGTTCAACAATTGATAAATAAATAAAATATAGTGTACCCATACAATAGAATATTACTTGGCCATAAAAAGGAGAGTTACATATTTTGTCATGGTTGAATCTTGAGAACATGCTAAGTGAAAGCCAAAAAGATCACATACTCTACAATCCCATGCATATGAAGTATCTAGAATAGGCAAATGACAGAGATATAAAAAGTACCTGAGCAGTTCCTGAAGGTTGGAGGGTGGAAAAAACTGACTGCTAATGAAAGGATTCTTTTGAGGACAATGAAAAGTTAAAAGTATCTTACTTTTAATAACATAATTTTGAAATTGAAATTTCTTGAAGATACAAGCAACCAGAATTAATAAATTTTGTACTGTAAAGTCAATATAGCATAGTGGAATAGCATATAGCCAAGAACGTTAGAATCTGACCACCTAGCTTCAAATCCCCACTCTGCCATTCACTACCTGAATAATGTTGAGCAAGTTACTTAATCTCACCTGCAGAACATGGAACACTGGCCCACCTATACAGTGGGGATAATAAAGAGCTATGTTATCTGATGTTGTGAGATATATATTAATACATGTCCAATATTTAGAACAGTGCCTAGGACCACTGTCAACAAATATTAGGTGTTATTATTACTATCATAAATACAATAAATCTTCTTGTTTGGGTCACTAAATAAAATATAAGCTAGTTGCTGATTTTTAAAAGATGATAAAGTGTTCTATGTATTCTTCCAACTCCATTGAACAGCTCTGTAATTCCATGGCTTTAAGAATATGACTCTTTTTTTGTAGAATTTGACTCTTATGCACTGCCAACAGTATAAATGAAAAAAAAGTACAGAAAGTACAATGGTGAGAGGAAGCCCAAGTAAAAATCATTATGATAAAGGCCAATATTATGATATTTTACCAATATAAAAATATTTTTAAAAGAAAGAACATTTAAGGACTGAATCAGTACTTAGTCTATTCACATTTTAACCTATTTACACACATTCCATCTTCTTAACATTTTAAAATAAATGAAATCAGATTTTGGTAAGAACTTACTAAAAAGTTTGTAGGAGGGGAAACTGTGATTCGGTAATGGAAAAGTCTGCCGGCGTTGTTGGTCATGGGACGGCAGGGCTTGATGGCCTGAGGGGAAAAATAAGAATGAGTTTAAATGTAAAGTAGCAAAATATTGTTATGTCAAAATAGATTGCATTTTCTAGATTCACATCTAACAAAAGAGGTTTTAAGTGCATTCCTTCGCAGACTGAACAGTATGCACTTTACCATTAACCACAAAAATACAAAAGGGCTGGCTGGTCCCCAGGATTCAACCCATTTCCTCATGTGCAATTCAAGAAGTTCACACAACATAAAGAAAAAAAAGGACAACACAGAAAAAAAAAGGGACAGGAAAAGTAACCTCAAAAGTAATAGTAATAGATGGGCGGAGCCAGGATGGCGGTGTGAGTAGAGCAGCGAAACTCTCCTCCCAAAACCACATAGAATTATGAAAATATAAGAAAGACAACTCTTCCTAAAATAGAGACCAGAGGACACAGGACAACATCCAGACCACATCCACACCTGCGAGAACCCAGCGCCTCGCGAAGCGTGTAAGGTACAAGCCC